TAGTATCTTTGTTATAACCAATGTAAACTACCGCTCGCTCAGCGAGCCAATCACAATCCAACATTTTGGGGTCCACCTAGACACCATGACTACATAGACCCCAATCGGGTAGTACGTAGACACTTCCTTTTCAGAATTCTTTTCTTTCCATTCCTTCTTTTTCAACACACCTTGATGAAATAGCCCAGACCGACAGTCTTGAAGATTTTGTCAATGGACGTGTTGGAGGGCAAGGTGCAGTTGAAGATGTTGAAAGCCCGCTTGAGTCTCTCTGGGATGTCGTTTCGACCTCCGCCTGGGTGAATCATGGCGGCGATCATCTGTACATCCACCAGGGTGGTGAACTCTCCGGGTTTCTCCAGGTTGTAGAAGCCGTTGACCTCCATCATCTGGCGTGTGATCTCGTTGGTCACCTGTGGGGGAGGGTGTGTGGAGAGTAATTACAAAGGGAGAAACGGGAGGGAAGGAGGGAGAGTGGGAAGGGGAGGGAGAAAGGAAGGAAGGATGGATGGAAGGGAGAAAGAGAGGGAGGAAGGGGGGAGGGAGGGAGGAAGGAAGGGGGAGGGATGTAGGAAGGAAGAAGGGAAGGAAAGAAGTAAGAAAGAAAGTTTGGGAGGGAGGACTAAAGGGCGCAAAAGAGGGCAATGGAATTTTTGGGTTTTGTTTATACAAAAGTGTGAACCAAATAATTAATCCGGGAATTAATTTATGAATGGACGAATCAGCAAGCGAATATAGAAAAAAAAAGAAAAAAGGAGGAGGAGGAGGAGGAGGAGGAGGAGGGGGAGGAGGAGAAGTAAAGAACAACAACAACAACAACAACTGTAACAACAACAGCAACAACAACAAGAAGAAGAAATGATTGTACAGTAAAGTAACAGTTTCTCACCTGATCTCCCCACTCGTTAATGACGGGCATGTTGATGTCGTCCACAAAGACAGTCATCTTCTTGCCAGCAGGTGGCCCGTAGGTTGTGCCCATACGCTTGTCCACGTAGCTCTCAATGGTGCGCTGGAGGATAGAAAGTTACTGACATAGCTCGTTCGGTTTCCAACAGTTTTGTTATGCAACCCAAGATATACACATGTGTAAGTTCAACAGATAGTTGAGTTGTAACATCATACTTAAAATATTAATATGTTGTTTGTGAATGGGGGGGGGGGGGACCCTAAAAAATCAAGAACAGTTGGCAATTAATCATCTTATGAAATAACCAAACCTTGAGATACATTTACTGCACAGGTCATTTTAACACTATCCGTACGCATTTTGTAACCCTAGGTTTGTATTCTTCACATTTTAGAATACTTCTCTTTGAAACTTTCAGTATTTCTCAAAAAATCATTTTCACAGACTGCTGTCGGATTAACGAGTAAATTTCCTCTTTGGAAAGTGGTAGCACAGAGTTCCGCACGTCGTATGGATACGATAGTAAAACACGACGTACGGTTAATGATGTAATTTTATTTGCAAGAGTTGTGATAACCTGAAGGCTAGAGACTTTTTCACCAAGGGGTTGCAGTATTTTCTCCTTTATCTGTCAGTTCTCTAGATCTGTTTTCCCCTTTATTGATCATAATCTACTCGTCTGTATGATAGCTGTATCCTCACAATATCACATTTTCTTTCTTTTCTGAATATTCTGGTTGGAAATGCAAGTGTGTAGTTTGAAACCTAGATTGTTATGATGAATAATAATAAGTAAGGTACACATTTTTACAACTAATTCCTTGCCTCAAAATAGGGAATAGGTCTTCGAGTTGTAAGAGTTAAGGAATGAGTAAATCTATACCTGGAACATCATGGGTGTGGTGGCGCTAGAGAAGTTGAAGCTTTTGAAGAGATGAGACTCGGGGTCAAACTTGTTACAGTATCCCTGGACCATCACTGTCTTGGCCGTTCCCTGGAGGCGAGACATAGAGTGAGAGTAAGTGAGATGAAGGTAGAGGTCAAAGGAGAGACGGAGAAAGAGAGAGAGAGAGAGAGAGAGAGAGAGAGAGGGGGGGAGAGAGAGAGAGAGAGAGAGAGAGAGAGAGGAGGGGGGGGGAAAAGACAGAGACGGGAGAGAGACAGTAGAGATATACAGAAAAAGAGTAAAGAGACAAAAACAGAGATAGTGACAATAGCAAAGACATACAAATAGACAAAAAATAGACATAAGACATACGCGTAGATATAAACAAAGAAACAAGACATAGACATAGACAAAGACATAAGACCTAGATATGAACAAAGACAGACAAAAATAAACCTACAAATCCAGTGGTACTTACCAGTCTCATCCTTTAGCTGCTCCTTCCAAAGCCAGGCCGGGTGTCCTAGCTGCAGCTCTACTG